ATAGTGGCTTTACATGCTTTTTATGATCCAAATCAAAAACATTTCTTATGAATTGTTTAAACTACTTTTCACACATGCTTACCGACGAAGCATATTCTTTGTAAGCTTCCACAGGCAAACGATGACTTTTAGTTCAATTTTGTTTTAGAAAACGTAATGAAGTATAACTTCCCTCAAATGGAGTTTTTCTGGTACAAAATTCGACATTTACAGTCCGATAAAAATAATATTTGTTAATACTTCAGTCAAATAGTACTACGTTTTAAAGCTGCGTACACACCTTTGAAGTACATGTATTGCCCACTTAAACATAATGCCAGTAATACGAATTTCGCCATCTATTGACAATCTGTAAAGTCATACTTGTACACCCAATATATTCAGACAGATGTATGAAGATGTCGATTACGCGTATTCGTGTCATCCGTCGCAAATGTACTAATAATACAAACCACAATCGCAAAATAAAGAGAAGCAATAAAGAAATTATTCAGATTATAGGGGCAAAAGGAAAAATGAATAGTACGCCTCGGTTACAAAGTCTACCCCACAACACGCATACATATGCTGAAACGTTAAAAGGAGATAGATCTTACCAGAACGCGATAGAGGTTTCGCTTCACAAACAAACAGCAAAAATTGATATGCTTGATAGCCCAAGGCTTTTAAACAATCGGAAATGACAGATTGAGCACAATTTTATGCTTCCGCAAGTTGTTTTTGCGTTTGATATGGGTCTTTATTTATCAATGCCTGCAATTGTTTGTCTTTAAATGCTCTTGGCCGTCCAAAACGCTCCTTGCTCTCCATATCAAAATCACTACTTTTAAAACGTCGAAACCCTTCTCTGCATATTTTATCGGAAGGAGCAATATCACCATAAACTTTTGCAAGATGTCGATGAGTTTCAGCTACAGTTTTCTTCCATTTAAAACAAAAGAAGGACACCGCGCAAATGACGCTTATTTGACTCAAATTTCGACATTTTTGATGCAGTGAGAAACAATATTATTGATGAAAACGTATACTTTCATATATTGAATTTTATTGACAGACGGTAAAACTAAAACATTAACCTTGGTTTAGACATTAGAGTTACCGACAATTCTAGCTATAGCTAATAGATGAATATGATATGATAACCGCTAGATGAATGAAAGTTTTCGATTTACCTGAAAGATAGATAACCGGAAGCCAAACATGCAGTAAACAAAGCAGCAATAGGACTTCGATCCCTGCTAAATCAAGTAGACAATGATTCTTTAACTCGTAAACCAGAATCATTAAACCCTACCAGCAACAATGAATATTCACTGTGGAAGGCGGTAAAAAATATTGGATTACCAATTACGGCCAAAGTGCCTCTGACAATAAATGACAACAAATGGGCTCGCAGTGACGCCGAGAAAGTAGAGGTTTTCGCAAAATTTCTCCAGGAAGCTTTTACTTCCCACCCCATAAGACCCGAAAACACCAATAGCGAAAGAGTCAGGGAATTTCTAAACAGTAATATGCAAATGGATCTACCCTTGAGGCCAATCAACTCAGGAGAGATCCAAGCAATGATCAAGGAACTATCTTCAAAAAAGCACCCGGATTTGATATTATAACTTCCGAAATCTTAAAATAACTACCGACAAAAATCATAATTTTTCTTACATCTTTCTTTAATGGGATCATTTGTACTTCATGCTTTCTAGCTATCTAGAAAATATCCCAGATTATAGCGATTCCTAAGAGAGGCAAACTCTCAAAATGTGTCTCATTTTATCGGCTAATTAGTTTGCAAAAAGTCTTGTCAAAACTGTTCGAAAATCTACTTCTTGACTAATTAAATCCAATAGTTTTAAAAACCGACGTCATTCCGCATCATCAATTTGGCTTCCGCAAGAACCATTCGACAATCAAACAGGTGCATAAAGTAATAGATAATGTGAGGCAAGCCATCAAACGGAAAGAATATTGCTCCGCAATGTTCTTGGATATATAACAGGCATTCGATAGAGTGTGGCACGATGGACTGTTGTATAAAATCAAGAATAAACTTTCTCATAACTTCTATCTGCTCTTAAAATCATATCTCAAGGGGAAAATGTTCAAAATCAAGGAAAACGAAAAGTATACTGAATTCTTCACAATAAAAGCAAGAGTTTCACAAGGCTCGATCCTGGGCCCTATTTTACGATACGATATTTACGTCTAACATACCATCGTCAAACGGAGTGACCACGGCTACATTTGCTGATAACATAGCAGTACTATCCAATAACCGAGACCAAAAATAGTATCCAGAGATATACAAATGCATATGTTAAAGCTTCAACAGTGGTTACAGGACTGGAGAATCCAAATCAGTGCCCAGAAATCAAATCATATCATCTTTACTCTAAACCAGAAAAGCTGCCTTACAGTCTCAATTAATAATAAAACTCTACCATCTACCAAAACAGTGAAATACCTAGGCATGCACCTTGATCGCAGATAGACACGAAGAGAACATATTCGTTCCAAACACAACGAATCAGATAATAAAACACAATCACTAATATTTCTACTTGGCAGAGATCCAAACTTAGTCATGAGAACAAATTATTATTCTATAAAATTATACTGAAATCAATGTGGACCTACGGGATGGAACTCTGGGGCAGAGCTAGTAATTCGAACATAGAGATTCTGCTATGATACCAGAATAGAATACTAAAACTAATCACACAAGCTCCTTGTTTTATCAAAAATACTGAGGTGCACGTGTACATGCAGATGCCCACAATCAGAGAAAAATCAAAACAAAAAGATCAAAATAGTATCAAAAACTGATTAACCATCCAAATCAATTAGCAAAAACCCTATATGATGACAATAGACAAATCAAAAGTTAAAAATATATCAAATACTGGAACTTTCAAACTGATAGTTGGGTACATAATGGAATGACGATCGTGGGATTGTTCCACCTAACAAGTCAATTTCCTAACAACAAAAATTCTTAATTTGCCTAGTTCATGCTGATTGCAGATGCCATCTAGGAGCACATAAAAATTTTGACCTTTTTTTCATTTTTATTTTGATACGTGAAACCTTGTGTACCATTCATTTTGTAGTGGTTCCATTATAGGTAGATATTTTTCTGTGAAGAACGGTTATATTTTAACTTGGTTGTTCCTTAGTATTTTTATTGTGAACTGGTTTATTGCGATCTCATTGCGTAATTGTTTTAATGGAATTATGTTCCAAATCCTTCTACGAAGAGAAGAAGTTTTTGTTATATATTTATTTAAATTGATGTCTATTCATTTTTTTATATCTGTAGCTGTTTCATCATTTAATTTTTCATAACTGTTGCTGGTTTCAACTGGATTTTTTAATAAATAATCGTTAATAGAAGTTTGACGTTTCTTGATAACAATATTTTAGGGATTACATCTCATTCTTTTTTATACTCCACCTTTTGTCAGTTTTGTCCTCGGTCATGATTTTTGTTCTGTTGGTTATTTTGATTATATTGTTGCAACGTTTGCGTTTATATTTACGTCTGCATATTCGGAACGTAGTTTAACGCCGTTATATAGGTTGTTTGTGTGAGTTTCACGTGACCAAATTGATTTATATTTAACGCGTCGGACATAATGTTGATAAGCATGTAAACTGCCGCTACGCCAGCACCACCAGCACCTCATATGGCTGCGCAGACCTTGCAGCCCACGCACGGGTCAGCTGATTACAATGATATTCTAAAGAAATTATGCCTAAACCAAACCTTGATTTCAAAACAGTATACAGCAAAAAGGGCTCACTTTTATTACAAATAAGGCTAACAAATAGCTAGGCCGAGATCTGCAAAAAGAGCGCCCCGCAAAGGGCAAATAGAGGCAAAAAATAATGCGCTAAAGTAGAACAATAAATATGTGTAAAGTTAAACTCACCGGGTGAACCACAGAAAGTGGGATAGTGTAATAGAATGACATATATTTAGTTTAATAGTTCTACGTACAAATATTTACAAATNATATATTTAGTTGAATAGTTCTACGTACAAATATTTACAAATATCGTCTTCGAATTTCATTTACAAAACGCCACGAACTTTTGTTATAATCCAATAGATAAATTCTTCGAGGACGGATTAATGAAGTTCCCCGAAAAATAAAAGAAAATATTTGAAGTAAACAGTTAATATGTATATGTTAGGTCTAGTAAAAAGTAATCAATTATTTTTCCAATATAGGGCTTTACTAATCTGTATCTCGCGTTGTATAAGTTCGATCGGATTACGCTAGATGGCGTTAAAAAGATAAGATTTCGTACTAAAAAAACCTCTCAGACAGTTTTGTGATTGCTTGACTCAGTATTGTTTGAGCGCCCGTCAAAGATGGACACCAGCAAAGAGAAAATACGCCATATTTTACAGTTTTTTTTCGATAAAGGCGAAAACGCAAGCCAGGTGGCTAAAAATGTGAATAGTGTTTATGGTCCTGATAATGTAAGAGCCAATCACGCGCAATTTTGGTTTTGTCGATTCAGTTCCGGTAATTTTAATGTCAAAGGTGCACCACGCTCCGGGAAACCAATTGTCAAAAATGTTGATAAAATAATGGAAATCGTCGAGTCCGACCGTCATGTAAGCACCGTTTCGATTGCCAAGGAGCTAAACATTGCACAAAAAACCGTTTGGAACCATTTAAATGAGGCTGGATTCAAAAAGAAGCTCGATGTGTGGGTGTCACACGAGTTAACGCAAAAACCTCATGAATCGAATTTCCATCTGCGAATCGCTGCTGAATCGCAACAAAATCGATCCATTTCTGAAGCGGATGGTTACTGGTGATGAAAAGTGGGTCAATTACGACAACGTCACGCGAAAACGATCGTGGTCGAATCGCGATGAGCCGGCGCAAACGGTGGCCAAGTCAGGGTTGACGGTCAGGAAGATTTTGCTGTGTATTTGGTGGGATTGGCAGGGAATTATCTACTATGAGCTGCTCCCCTACGGCCAAACTCTTAAGGGAAAAGTCTACTGTAAAATTTTCAAAAAATCAATTTTTTGTTTATTAGCTTAAAAAATACTTTGAACCCTCTAAAATAAGGTACATTAGATGTTATAGCCGGCTAAATTTTTCTTTATTGAAATTTCGACCTTTTACCGAAGCGCTCCGAAACGCGTACCTGTGGCAAATTCCTATCTGTTCGGCGGGTACAGCGTAGTGACTTGCAATTCAATTTCTAACATTTCTAATACTCCAAGTCGATCAACAGATGTCACTAGGTATATTTTATAGTCAGTTAGAAGCGATTTCAACAGTAAGGACGCCGGTAGTGCGTAATTTTAAGGGCCAGTGTGTCGAACAGCTGTGATCGTTTCGGCGTTTCCCGCGTGGCTAACGTATATACATTTTTATACTTTTATCAAAATGAAGCCTGCTTCTTTCGACAGAAAGGGTTCACACGAAACTTCCAGACGACCTTCACGACGTAGGAAAAGACCGCCGCCACCAAATCGTCATACGGTGGAGAATGAAACGGAATCGACAAGTTCTTCCGCGAAAAAATTAAGAACGAAATCGGTGGAAATGGAAATTAATAATGGCTATAAATACCGTTTGATTGAATTTTTATTCTTGTTTCAAACGCTGAGTGAAATGATCATGTGCAAAACGTGCGGTGGAAATGTGATTTTTTCGGAAAGTAGTATCCGTGGACTTGGATTCAGCTTAGTCGTTAAATGCAGTAATTGTGAACCTGGAGCATTTTCAATGAAAGCTACTCCAGTATCCTCAAAATGATGGACGTTATGAACATCAAAATTGGACCAAACGCCTTCAATTTATGCAACACCGTGGACGAGCGCAGAATATCACAAGCAAACGAACGGTCGTTCGACGCTTCAAAAGAAGGGAGAATCGAAAGAAGAACGGCGCGATCGGCACTCGAAGAGGATTTCCTCGAAGAAGAAGGTGTACTATATGAAGCAGGATTGGGCAATTAATGGTAAGAAGCTTAAAAATGATTTTTTCATTGAAAAAACTAATGCCGAAACTTTAAACGCGTTTTTCTCGAAACTAAGTTTTTCAATACGGTGTACACGATATCTC